TTACAATTTATTGTAGTGCATTTAACGTATGTATTAGTATGTAAAATGTATTAGTTTTTAAGCTTAAATCTGTTTTAGGACCTCTCCTAATTTTAGGAACTCTGTCTTATAAATATAAAATTAAGATTTTAATTAATCCTTTAAGTTTTGTATGAAGATTTTGAATAATATTAGCGATGTTTCGAACTGAAAGCTAAGATCTAAATGTGAATTTATTATTTTTATCGAGCTTTAAGTAAGAATATTTAGAATTTCTCTTTAAAAATTCAATGTTAACCAATACATTTAGTTCTATTTCATTGTCTTTTTAGATTTTCTTTTAAGGTTTTACTTCCAAAACACTGGTAATCACATAATTGGTATAGAAAAATATATTTTGAAATTTATGCATTACAATTTGTTGCAGAGCTGTTAACGTAACTTGATAAAGTAGCAGTTTTTAAGCTCAAATCTGTTTTAACTTTGAAAAACAGTTTATAAATTTTCAGACTTTACTTTAAATTTATAATTTTAGAAACCCCTGCTTCACAATTACAAAATTCAAACTTCAATTAAGAATTTTTTTTGAAAAACAAAATTGCGCCAAAACCAGTCGTTTACCTTAGTACATACTAATTTTGATTAGAGTGAAAATGGTCATAAATCTGAAATTTCAAGCACACATTCACAGTTTTATTGTTATCAAATAAACAGTAATTTCCACTTAATAATATCGCGACCAGAGAAAACAGATTTGTTATAATTTAAATCCTCAAACTAGCACGACGCAATTAATATTGGCGCTTTTCGCATGCAATGGTGGTATATACACACATCAGAATCTATCCTCTTCATCAAATCACCAAGCAGGTTACCTCTCACAAACCGCTTCATTGCGAGAACCTTTGTGTCCGATCGCCCAACAAACCATTCCGACCAAATCCAAATGGACAAAAGGATAGACTAAATAGTATGAATCCAACTGGACATAACCCGGTATACCCCGTAAAACGGACCCTCATACTCGATTACATCGCCAAGTTCGCTTCATCACGCTGGACTACCTCTGTAAGGGGGACCCCTACACAATTTGTGGTGTTCCATGCTTTGTGAGGTTTCGTTTCTGTTGGCCGTTCCTATTGATCAGGACCAAGACTACTTCGCAATTAGGAAAAGACTGAATGCTTCATTCGGCCAGAACTCTTCGATTTAGAGGGGTATTTAGTGTGGTGGGGTGAATAGTTTCCTCAAACAAGTCACTTTCGTTATGTATAATTGAGGGACTGTATGGGATGGAGAGTCGGTAATAAAACTAGTTTAGGGAACGGTCTTGGATGCTATTATTGGATCCCTCATTACTTGTCCTCCCCCCCCCATCACGATCCTCTTTTGTCTTGAGTGGCTTTTTGAATGTGCTCTCACGCGTGATGTCTAAACTGATACTATTTGCCTTTGTAAACAGCTCAATATTAAAACCGTGGAAATAAGTTAATATTGGTTTTGAAACGTGAATTTGCAGTAAGCTATTGATGCTTTGAAACTTTCGGAAAATATGACCCTTTATATAAAATATAATGATGCATTGAATGAAGTTTATTGTAGGGCTTATATTATGAAATTTTTTAAATACGAATTGAAGTATATTACATAAAAAATCTATGGCTGAAGTTAACTTGATATGAAAGACTGAATGCATCATTATATTTCAAATAAAGAGCCTTTATATGAAATATAATAATTCATTAAATGAATTGCATCGCAGGGATCATGTATTGAAATTTCTCAAACAGGAATTGAAGTAGAATACAAAAAAAGTTAATAATTATGAAAAAACTTCACATAAACTTACACCCATTTAAAAAATGTAAGGGGATATTTAACCAAAAATTTTGGGGACAAAAAGATATTTATTAGAAAAAATTTAAAATTACTTTTACTGTTTATTACAATGTATTTTAAATGCAATGTTTATAAAACCGCTTGTAAAATTAAGGATATTACCACGGTAATTACCAAGGAGATAAATAAATAAGGGGTCAGCAGCCTAAAAACTGTAATAATTTCTTATAAATCAAAAGCAAGTGCCTCCATTGCTTAAATGTTTATTCCAACAGCTTGCCTTGTGGTCAGTACTACTACACTGCAAAAAATTTCGGGTTAAATAACGGTAAAAACAACTACACTCGGGGTGCAGAATCCGTAAAAGAAATTTTTACTGAAAAATTTAATTCCATACTTTTTAAAGTAATATTTGCTTAATTACAGTGTTTCAGTGATTTTGCAGTAAATATTGTTATAAAATCGAATTTTTTGTTTCAGAAAATTTTGCGGTAAAAAAGTACTGTCATTTCGAATGACTGTTCTTTTTACCGTAAATTGATCCGGGATATTTAATAGTGTACAATTTATTGGTTTAATAATCCTTTGAGAACTTAAACCTTTATCAAAATGGCCTTCCATTTTTCAAGGTTCTGGACTTTAAAATAGTTCAGTTCTAAATTTTCATATTTTTCCTGGTTTTGTTCAACATCCTTCAACCTCATTCTCCTTCGTCTTTTACGTGAGCTGGAATCACCAGGCTTCGAATTGAAAAAAAAATTTCCACATATTTATTTTTAATCACCAGTTTAATGCGATCAACTCTCTTTAAATCAGCTTTTTATCCGTGTTTTTGCACAATCTTAAATTCTGCACACTTCATTATTTTTGGCAAGTTTAAAATTTTTCCCCGTTAACTTTCTTTCTGATTGACTTTGGCTTAAATTTTAAGTTATTCTTAGAACCTCTCCTAACCTCCTGCTTCAGATGATCATCTGAATGGAAACCAAAACTTTTTCAGATCATCAAAACGCTGAGAAATCATACTTTGAAAACTCTGGGCTCTATGGTAGGTGATAAATGATTAATATATCGAGTAAGTCATGAAAAATTCGACGTGAAATGAATAAATAGAAATTCAGTAAATAATAAAAAAAACAACAAGACTTTCATTTATTCAGATTTTAGAAAAAAAAACAGATAATAACATTACACACAATTATTTTGCAGACAGGCAATCCTTAAATTAATGACTGTAATAGAAAATAAGTGTGGCAGTTGGTGTAGATTGACTAATTGAAGTAGATGATGAGAAACATGACCATAATCATAATTAAAACTTTTATTTCGTTACTGACATCGAGGTGCAAAACAATTATTAGCCAAAGGACATTTCAAATAAAACCATAAATTTTGCTTTGATAGGAATAAGGACAGGCCATGGGAGATAAATCTCTCACGACCTGTATAATCAGAAGCCTGCATAATCAAAAATAAGTTTTACATTAACGGTTTTGGAGTACAGAAGAGATCCAGAAGAGCTGATTTTATGTAGAAAGGTCTCCGGTTTGAATCCCGCTTCGGACATGGATGTAATTTCTATCTCTTTGTTCTATCTGCCTTTCTTATGTTGTTAGGGTGACATTGATCCACCCATATGGTGTCCATGACAAAAAGATCGTTATATATCGAGTGAGTAATGGAAAATTCGAAGTGAAATAAATAAATAGAAATTCAGTAAATAATTTAAAAAAATAAGACTTTTATTTATGCAGATTTTAGAAAAAAAACTTAGATTATTGATTATTTCAATTTTAGACTTTTTGATTCTCATTTAATTGTGCGGTACTGTAATTTCAATTAACTCTTTACTTTGTGTTTTCCTTTTAAAAATAAAACTTTCATTAATGCTATCTTAATATAGAGTTAAAACAAATTTAACACTTGGTTAAAATTTGATAGTAATTTATTGTGGGCATCAAATGTGATTTTTCAACAATTGAAAAATTTACCATTTAATTGTGTTTAAATAATATGTTGTATGAAGTGAGAAAAAGAAAAGATTTAAACAGTCACGTCTTATTTTTTTCGGTATTTCCCAAGAAATTATATTATAGACTTAATAATTTTTACATCTATCATGTGATAAACCTAAAACTGATAATAAAAATAAATATTATGCAACAATAAACTAAAGGTGATTTATGTGCTCTGGTTCATTTAAGAAGCAATGGATTGTACCTTTTGAATTACATTATTTTTTTTACTGATTTCTTAATGAAAACAATAAGCATGGTAAATAAAAGGTTTTATTTTGTAAAATTATTAGTCACATAGTAAAATACATGAAAATAAAATATTATAGAAACATAACATCTATCTTTTCATCAACATTTAATGTTAACATAAATCAAATTGAATTGAGAGTGCGCTAAAGCAAAAGGGGAAAAGAAATTCATCATTTATGGTTCTCACATTCCATAATCTAGCTTTAAAATTACATCTTAACACTCATAGTTTTCAATATAATCATAAAACAAATGAATATATAGAAAAAATAAATAAAATATTCGGTATTTACGTATTATCCCGTTGAATATTTTTGCTAACATTGCACCTAAGTCATTTCGGTATTTTTCAAATTTATTTTAGCATTGCAAATGATTATACAGAAATTGACAAAATAATAAAATTACCTATTGTATACTGAAAACGGTATAATATTTAAATATGAAGCATTTCCAAATTTATTTTCAGTTTTGGTGAAAGTGGTCGAAGGAGGGGATAATACCCCTAATCACCAAATATTCACTCTAATGGAAAATAAACTACCCAATTAAGATTTTTTTCAGGTAAGTAAGATTATATATTTTCATTAGTTTCTGCAAAGTTCTGTAAAGTTATACTGTTGTTTAATGTAATTACAACCAATGCGATGAAATTTTGGGAATCAAGTTAAAATGATAACTTATGTATTTTGCGTTTATAAAAAGATATCGGCTATATTGAAATAATTGTTTGCTTTTATTGTAACATTTGACTTGACTTTACTTTAAAAGATTAAAGTTCGGGAACTTCACAATTGATTACATAAGCTCTACACTGAGATCAAATATTAACAATATTTGTATTGTATTGGGTTGGAGGGAAAGTTCTGTCGTATTTTAATGAAAATATCTGAATTCATTTATAAAAATATGCGTTTAATAATAATCAATTATATATGCTCCATTATTTGTTACAACCTGTTGCCATCTTTCAGGTAACCTGTGAATTCCTGTTTTGTAGAAGTTCTCGTCCTTAGAGTTAAAATAGTCAGTAACTGAATTAGAAACACTTTCAAAAGACTTGAATATTTTTCCCGTTAGATAACTTTGCAGAGATCTGAACAGATAATAATCAGATGGTGCAATGTTAGGAGAATACGGTGGGTGACTAAGGATTTCCCATCCTAACGCATTCAGTTTTTGTAGTGTCATCATTGCAGTAGGCGGGCGAGCATTATCGTGGTGGAACACTATTCCTTCTCTGAACGCCAATGCTGGCCTTTTTACTTTGATAGCTGCATTAAATTTATCCAGCTGATTGCAGTACAGATCCGCGTTGATGGTTTTCCCCTGTTTCAGCAACTCGTTGTACACTGGACCTTTCCTGCCCCACCACAAACAAAGCATTACTTTTCGTTGATAGATACTTGGTTTTGGAACTGTTGCTGATGATGTTCCTGGTTTGGAGTAAGATTTTTTTCTCTTAATATTCTCGTAAAGAATCCACTTTTCATCTCCAGTAACCAGCCTGTCCAAAAACGGCTCCACATTGTGTCTAATCAGATGTGATGAACACATTCTTACACGATCAGACAAATTCTTTTCCGTTATTTCATGTGGAACCCAAACACTTTGCTTTAACACAAACCCAAGAGATTTAATGTGATCTCCAACAGTTGTATGATGAATGCCAAACTCTTCTGCAATTTCTGGACTTGTTAAATGTGGATTATTTTCCAACGTGGATTGCAAAACATCATTATCGACCTTGGATGGTCGTCCAGATAGATCACTTTCTTTGAGGGTCAGATCCCCGGAACGAAATTTGGTAAACCATCTTTGACAAGTACGAACATTTACAATATCTTTTCCAAATACCGCACATAAATTTTTACATGCAACCGATGCGTTGCTTCCTTTTTCGTATTCATATAAAACGCAGTGTCGTAAATGCACTTTATCTACTGACATGTTTTTCACTTTAAATATTACAAGTAAATGATGAACGGTAAAAAAGGGTACCTTTTATATTATACAGCAGCTGAAAAAAAAATCCGATTGACTCATTAGGCAGATGTTTTTTTTTTAATTACAAGAAAAATCACCTGCCTATTTAAAATACGACAGAACTTTCCCTCCATCCCGATATAAGGCCGCGAATAATCAAATTTGAAATTTAAAGAAATTCTTCACATTTTAAAAAGGGGGCAAATATATAATCGAGGCAAATATATCCAATATTGGTAGTTGGGATAAGATTTTATTTTAAATATGAATATATTTTAAATATGAATATATTTTAAATATGAATATATTTTAAATATGAATATACAAGTATTTTAAATATGAATATATTTGAAATTAAAATATACAAGCCCTTTATACACATTTGCATTTGTAGAATTGCAATAAGAAGAGGAAGTAAAAAACAGTTTTAGGAGTAGCAAGTTAATATTTAACTAAAAAAATATCATCAGCATTTGACGAATCACTACTGAGGAATGTGGGATTAAAAACACCAAAATCAGTCTGATAGTCAGTTATTTGACATTAATCAGCAATTTAACATTAATTGGAAACTCCAAGCATGCAAATATTTTATGGCTTTTTAGAAAGTTTTCTGAAAGTGTTAAAGGTAATGATAACGAAACACTCTATATATTAATGAAATAAATGCAAATGGACAATTTATTTCAGAAATACTGTAGTTTTTTTTCACATATGAAATTTATAAAATTTTCTTCAGCATATTCCAAATTTCTGGCGTATTCCAAAGTTCTTCAGTAACTTCTTTTTTTTTAAGGAATAACTTTCATTTCCTTTCTAATCTGAAAAAGAAAAATAATATGAGTTAAAGGGTTTTTCAACTTAGAATAAAACTTCAAAATATTAGTATAAGTAAATACAATAAACATTGGCAAGAGTCGGCCTTTTGAAATTGAGATTTCGAATTAGTTTGCATACATTAGTTTTGTATCACCTCTTCATAACGCGTAGAAATGCACTTCCCCCTGATTTGCCCCTCTCGGCCACTTTAGTTTTTCTTGTTTTTGTCTTCATCTTTTTTCCTCATTTTACTGTGTTTTTTCTAGTTTTGTTTCTCTTTTATTCTTATATTTTTCGTTGGCAACTTTAAATTTTATATTTCAAATCACTTTTGTTTCATCTTATTCACGCTTGGCAAGTCTTGAAAATGGGTGCCTATTTTTGAGAGCTTGAAACACGTCTACAGTTATTTCCAATTTGTGTATTTCTGAAGCGAATGAAGTATCTATTCAAATGAATTTACTAGTATTAGTAAAACGTAAACAAGAATAACAAGAATCTTAGCAGGAGCAAGGAACTCTTAAGAAGATCATATACCGTAGGAGAAACTTTTCATGGCAAATTCTATTTAACTTCTATTGGCATTTTATGATTTAAAGTTTTGAATGAAAGTGAGTTCAGGATTAAACCCCAAAGTTTCAAATGCAGAGAAAATATTTTCACCTAATCTAAATGCAAACAAATTATTGCAGGATAACTTTCCGACTGCGCAATTCTAAGTCATCCTGTCATAATTTGTTTGCATTTTGATATTTTGAAACTTCGTTTCAGCATTTAAAACTGCATGGTTATCTATAGTTTTACCTGAAGTCATTTTTTCTATACTTCAAATTTTAAACTACTAATGTAGATGAAACATAATTTGTAATGAACGGTTTCTCCCGCAGTATTGTGTTCTCTTAAGTAGTGTCATTCTAATAGAAAGAAGATTTTACTTTCTCCATGTTTCCTTAAAAGAATTATGCGAGCACATTTTCTGATTCAAAAAACAGCTAATTGATAATTTTGAACAATAAATAAAATAGAATAATTTTTTTTAAAATTCTATTTCATGCATTGAAATGTGTTCTATTGGATTTAGTTAACAAATTTTAATGTTTAAGATTGTTAATATTTCGAAAACTTTTAGTTCAAACTTTTTCAAAGTACTTAAAACTCAGATATTAACTCAGAAATTCGGTAACTGGGTTCAACAGAGCACAATTCAATGAAACAGGAATGGTAAAAAAAACATTAATTCCTTAATAAATAAGGGATTACGTTCGCCCAACTCTCCTAAGATTGACATGAAGAAAATATAATTCCTCTTCTGTCAAAAGGAGACCCTTATAAAACTAAAACCGATGAAAAAGAAAGAGAAATGAAATAAGCAGATTTAAGCCTAAAATCATGTATTCATAATGGCATATTAAAAAAATATTATTTTACTAACAAAATATTATTTTATTGACAAAATATTACTTTACTAATATTAATTTAGATTTTAATAGAAAAAGCTATGTAACTGCAGTTATTAAAGAAACACAAAAATACAATTATAAAATCTATTTATGATTAAAAAAGAACGTTTCAAAAGAGACACTATATAAATCAGATATTTTGACTAACACCTACAAATCTCTCAATAAATCTTACAGAAAAGACTCTATATATTCTTTTTTTATAGTTTATATGGCTCATCTTTTCGCTTCCCTTGTAATTTGACGATAACTAATATTAATTTCGATTTTAATAGGAAAAGCTATGTAGCTACAATAATTAAAGAAATACAAAAGTACAATTATAAAGCCGATTTATGATTGAGAAAAACGTTTCAAAAGAGACATTATATAAATCAGATATTTTGTCAAACACCTACAAATCTATCATTAAACCTTACAGAAAAGACTCTATATATTCTTTTTTTGTAGTTTATATGGCTCCTCTTTTTGCTTCCCTTGTAATTTGACGACAACTAATATTAATTTTGATTTTGATAGAAAAAGCTATGTAGCTACAGTAATTAAAGAAATACAAAAATACAATTATAAAATTGATTTATGATTAAAAAAACGTTTCAAAAGAGACATTGCATAAATCAAATATTTTGTCAAACACATACAAATCCATCATTAAACCTTACAGAAAAGACTCTATATATTCTTTTTTAATAGTTTATATGGCTCATCTTTTCGCTTCCCTTGTAATTTGACGACAACTAATATTAATTTCGATTTTAATAGAAAAAGCTATGTAGCTGCAGTTATTAAAGAAATACAAAAATAGAATTATAAAATTGATTTATGATTAAAAAAAAACTTTCAAGAGAGACATATAAATCAAATATTTTGTCAAACACATACAAATCTATCATTAAATCTTACAGAAAAGACTTTATATATTCTTTTTTTATAGCTTATATGGCTCATCTTTTCGCTTCTCTTGTAATTTGACGACAACTTAGCATCGCTTGACCAAGCTGCTTTAGCATTTCCAACATCTCTGTCACGTGACCGAGCGAACCCGTCCTTCTATCCTGTCTGGTCCCTGCCATTAACCCTGATTACTCTAGCGGCTTAGAAACTCCCATCAGATCAACTAATTGGCATTAACGCAAAGAGGTAGGAACGACACATTTCTAAGGCGCATGCTCATCCGGCGTGATATGTCCGCTTTATAACATTGAGCGAGCGAATAAGTTCCATTAAAAGGCATGATTATGACTATATTTGCTACTCTGCCCCTAATAAAATGAAGCGGTCATAAAGGCGAAGAACGTCTTGGGTGATAGTTGGACTCTCATGGAGAAATGATTTCTTAAGAGTGTTTGTTGCCAGATAGTATATAAGTGTACTAAAATTTTGTATTCATATATATTCTACGCAAACTATGGCAAAAAAGCTTCCAAATTTCTTATAACTCGAAATAAATTATTGAATAATATATAACCCAAGAAGTGTTTTAATATACCTTTTATTTATTTAAGAGAAAAAAATTTAGAATTTAAAATTAGAAAACGATTCCTGAACTACAATATTTAAGTGTTCTATTTAAACATTTTTAAGATGACGAGTATTTAAAACTTTTAATTTTAAAATTCTTAAAATATTTAATCTATACTTTTCGCTTTAAAATTTCGAAGCTAGGTTCAAGCGAGCACATTTCAATAACTGTCAATCTGAATGACAATTAAGGACAAAATGATTTAATGTCATAAATTTGCTTTTTTGACCACCTTTGTAGTTTTTTGTTTTTTAACTTCTGGTTTCTTTAATCACTGGGTATAGGACATTTAAAGGTTTTGAAAATTAAATGTTATCAAAACTATAAAAAATTCATAGAATTTAGTATCTTTTCAATAGCATAAGGCTATCACTATCTATCCATGGTATTTTTATGATAAGAAGTGATAAGATAAACGAATCAAATATGCCACATAGTTTAAAATATACGAACTCCTAACATAAATCATAAACTCATCTTAATTACTTTAGATAATTGAAGAGCTATGTTAACAGAATGGTATCGAAGCCATAAAATATCATAGCATCAAGTATCTTTTCCCTCTCCTTAAGTTATCCCTATCAAATAATTACCCTTTATTTGAAATTAAAAAAAAGTGAAGAGATAACAGAATAAAGTATGTCATATTATTTGATATTGCTTCAATATTAGAAATTTATAGTTATTTGTTTAGAAGAAAAAAAAATTTTTTTTAACCAATTGTTATTACGACTATTAAAGAAATCACAGGATTTAGTGTATCTTCAATCTTATATAAAGTTTTAACGGTATCCAATCATTTTAAAATTGAAACAATCATGAAATGACCAAATAAGATAAACCTTACAAGCAATTATTAAAAAAAAATCTTAGGAAATTAATATTTTTTCAATATCATACAACCAGAGATACTCTGCGAAAAGTTCCGGATCATATTACGGTAAAAAGTAATGGCATCTTGCGTGCAGCATTCGCAAAATTAATTTGACCTTAAAATCCATTTTCATCGTAAACTTTTACACCTTTATTTTTACTGTAATATTTATCTAATTACAGTGATTCATTGATTTTACATTAAATATTATTGTAAAAATTACGGTAAAGCAGATTTTTTGTTCCGTAAAACTTGTTAGTAAAAATGGATTTTACGATTAAGTGAATTT